TACATTAAGAGCATATATTTAATTGTATTACAGCCTGAATTCAAAATGGATTAAATAGATTTTTTCTCTCACCCATCTACACACAATACCCCATAATGACAAAGTGAAAACATGTTTTTACAAATGTTTGCAAATGTATTGAAAATGAAATACGATTACAGATGTGAGTCTTTCTGGGTAAGCCTCTAAGAGCTTTCCACACCTGGATTGTGCAACATTTGCCTGTTATTATTTGCAAAATTCTACAAGCTTGGACAAATTGGTTGTTTGTCATTGCTAGACAGCCATTTTCAAGTCTTGCCATAGATTTTCAAGCAGATCTAAGTCAAAACTGTAACTCGGCCACTCAGGAACATTCACGGTCTTCTTGGTAAGCAACTCCAGTTTAGATTTGGCCTTGTGTTTTAGGTTGTCGTGCTGAAAGATGAATTCATCGGTCTGGTCGAAAGCAGACTGAACCAGGTTTTCCTCTAGGATTTTGCCTGTGCTTAGCTCCATTCCGTTTATCTTTTATCCTGAAAAACTCCCTAGTCCATAACGATTACAAGCATACCCATAACATGATGCAGCCACCACTATGCTTGAAAATATGGAGAGTGGTACTCAGTAATGTGTTACATTGGATTTGCCCCAAACATAACACTTTGTATTCAGGACAAAAAGTTAATTGCTTTGCCACAGTTTTTGCAGTATTACTTTAGTGCCTTGTTGCAAACAGGATGCATGTTTTGGAATATTTGTATTCTGTACAGGCTTCCTTCTTCTCACTCTGTCAATTAGGTTAGTGTTGTTGAGTTACTACAATGTTGTTGATCAATTCTCAGTTTTCTCCTATCAAAGCCATTCATCTCTGTAACTGTTTTAAAGTCACCATTCCTGAGCGGTTTCCTTCCTCTTGGGCAACTGAGTTAGGAAGGACGCCTGTATCTTTGTAGTGACTGGGTGTATCGATACATCATCCAAAGTGTAATTAATAACTTCCCCATGCTCAAAGGGAATATTCAATGTCTTCTTTTTTAATTTTTTACCTATCTACCACAGGAGGCTGCTGAGGGGAGGACGGCTCATAATAATGGTTGGAATGGAGTGAATGGAATGGTATCAAACACATGGAAACCATGTGTTTGATGTTTTCAATACCATTCCATTAATTCCGTTCCAGCCATTACTAAGAGCATGTCCTCCCAATTAAGGTACCACCAGCCGCCTGTGCCATCTACCAATCGGTGCCCTTCTTTGCGAGGCATTGGAAAACCTCCCTGGTCTTTGTGGTTAAATCTGGTGTTTGAAATTCACTGCTCGACTGAGGGACCTTACAGATCATTGTATGTGTGGGGTACAGAGATGAAGTAGTCATTCAAAGATCATGTTAAATACTATTATTGCACACAGTGAGTCCATGCAACTTATTATGTGACTTGTTAAGGACATTTATTTTGGCTTGCCATAAGGGGTTGAATACTTACCGACTCATTTTTTATTCATTAATTTTTTTGGGGGGGGGAAAAACATTATTCCACTTTGTCATTATGGTGTATTGTGTGTAGGCCAGTAACAAAAATAATCTCTATTTTATCAATTTACAAAAATTCAGGCTGTAACACAACAACATGTGGGAAAAGTCAAGGGGAGTGAATACTTTCTGAAGGCGCTGTATATATATGAACTTCTTAAAACAACTTATTGTAAGTCTTTTGGGCTATTCTTACAATAGTTTCATGCCGACTAGCTTACTCAGTCTTCCCATTAACATAACAGTGCAGCAGAGGGGTAAATTCTCAAATCAAAGCAGCAGCATTAAACTGACCATCCCATGTCCTACACTAAACGAGATGATCCAGTCTGCTGATAAACAGATCCACCCAGTGGTGGAATCCTGCATAGCAGACAGCGTCTCACTTCAACTAACAGGAGTCGCTGTCCGCTGAAACATGGGCCTAGGTTGAGGGGAAGAGGCGAAGCGAGAGGATTTACTCCGCCCAAAATATATCCGTGTGAGATAAGACCATTTTTGTATGGAGGTCTATGAGAGAGTGTTGAATTACATGGGGCTAATTTGATTCAAATAGAAGTTTGTAATTTTTAGACTGTTACAAATGTACTGATATAAATGGATGCAGGTGGCATTCCGGCAACTTGGTTGTGCCTGTTGTTCACACGTGTATCTGCCCTCTCATTGGCTAGAATGGTCCCTCCTGACCTCACTTGCCTTCAAGCATTGAAGACATGTATTTGCATTGTTTGAGCGGTCACTCGGCTATCTTGTCAATATAATAGCTCATCTTTGGCCTATGTCCAGTCTTCTTGCCCATCAAATAGCTATTATTGATTATTGCTAAGGTCTCATATTCCATGGTAGGAGATCTACAGGGAAGAAATCACAAAGTAAATAAACATGTGTTGGTTCCCTTCCTCTGAGTGGACACCCTAGCTATGGCCCAATCATATCCTTCCTCCCAGAGTGGACACCCTAGGTATGGCCCAATCATCTCCTTCCTCCCAGAGTGGAACTGTTCACTTCCCTTCACTGATTTGAAAGAAAATGACGGAGCCATGGGCTGGTGGGAGTTTCCACCATATTTCACTGCCATGGGCTGGTGAGAGTTTCCACTATATTTCACTGCCATGGGCTGGTGGGAGTTTCCACTATATTTCACTGCCATGGGCTGGTGGGAGTTTCCACTATATTTCACTGCCATGGGCTGGTGGGAGTTTCCACTATATTTCACTGCCATGGGCTGGTGGGAGTTTCCACTATATTTCAATGCTTTTAGATTTGTGGGAAGTAGTGAACGACTGCACACTTCAGGAGGACAGAGATATTATTGGGACACACCCTTTGATGGCCACAAGCAAGATTCAGAGAAACAGATTATTCAGCAGTAAACGGTCTGTGGTAGAGATTATAAACTGGGTGGTTCGAGCCCTGAATGCTGATTGGCTGAAAGCCGTGGTATATCACAGGTATGACAAAACATTTATTTTTACTGCTCTAATTATGTTGGTAACCAGTTTATAATAGCAATAAGGCACCTCTGGGGTTTGTGGTATATGGCCAATATACCACGGCTAAGGGCTGTATCCAGGCACTCCGAGTTGCGTCATGCATAAGAACAGCCCTTAGCCGTGGTATATTGGCCATTTACCACACCCCCTCTGGCCTTATTGCTTTAATATACATCAATAAGCTAACAGGACAGTTCCAGATCCATTAATAAATAAATAGGCCTTATTCATTCATTGTATTTTACCTTGAAATGGCGTTTACTGAAGCCGAGCCAGTGTGGGAAGTCGAAGAGGGCATCAGAGTAATATTTCAGGGTGAAGCAGGTATCCCTCCACACGGGCGTGACCTTCTCTCTGTCGCCTAGGAGACAGAAACTCTCACCTGCCCAGCCACGCAATGCATCACCCAGGTCAATCTGAAAACCAAAAAGCAGAGGGAAAAATGTATTTTAACTTTACATTAAAATATAAGAAATATGAAAATGCTATTTTCAATGTCATCATCTTGAGAGGTGGTTGCATAAAGAAAATAAGCGTGTTATCCAAGAATCACACTCTTATTAAAATGTTATTTTTATAACAGGAAAATGACAAACTCACATCGACCCTGTAGCTCTCCCCAGCCACAGAGGAGATAGTCCTGTCCAGGCCTCTCTCCATCTCCCACTTGATCAGAGCGTTACGGCCATCAATGGCCACCACATACCGCTGGAGCACTGGGCGGGAGGGAGAAAAGGAGAGGGAGAGAGAGAGAGAGAGAAAGAGAGGGGGAGAGTGAGAAGGAGGGAGAGAGAGGGGTTGGGGAGAGAGAGAGAGTTAGTCATGTGATGACCACTGTGTTAGTTAGTAATAAAACCTTTCACCAATCCACCACAGTGAAGAGGCAATGAGTCTCTGTACAGTGCATTCAGAAAGTATTCAGACCCCTATTACTTTTTCCACATTTTGTTATGTTACAGCCTTATTCTAAAATGGATTAAATTGTTTGTTTTTCCCCTCAATCTACACACAATACCCCATAATGATAAAGCAAAAATAAAATAAAAAAGAATACCATTTACATAAGTATTCAGACCATTTACTCAGTACTTTGTTGAAGCACCTTTGGTAGCGATTACAGCCTCGAGTCTTCTTGGGTATGACGCTACAAGCTTCGCACGCCTGTATTTGGCTAGTTTCTCCCATACTTCTCTGCAGATGCTCTCCAGCTCTGTCAGGTTAGATGGGGAGTGTCACTGCACAGCTATTTTCAGGTCTCTCCAGAGATGTTTGATCAGGTTCAAGTCCGGGCTCTGGCTGGACCACTCAAGGACATTCAGAGACTTCTCCCGAAGCCACTACCACATTGTCTTGGCTGTGTGCTTAGGGTCGTTGTCCTGTTGGAAGGGGAATCTTCACCCCCCAGTCTGAGGTCCTGAGCACTCTGGAGCAGGTTTTCATCAAGGACCTTTCTGTACTTTGCTCCATTCATCTTAACCTCGATCCTGACTAGACTGGTCCCTGCCGCTGAAAAACATCCCCACAGCATGATGCTGCCACCACCATGCTTCACTGTCGGGATGGCGCCAGGTTTCCTCCAGACGTGACGCTTGGCATTCAGGCCAAAGAGTTCAATCTTGGTTTCATCAGAACAGAGAATCTGTTTCTCAAGGTCTGAGTCCTTTAGGTGCCTTTTGGCAAACTCCAAGTGGGCTGTCATGTGCTTGGGTACCTTCAATGCTGCAGACATTTTTTGGTATCCTTCCCCAGATCTGTGCCTCGACACAATCCTGTCTCTGAGCTCTACGGACAATTCCTTCGACCTCATGGCTTGGATTTTGCTCTGACATGCACTGTCAACTGTGGGACATTATATAGATAGGTGTGTGCCTTTCCAAATCATGCCCAATCAATTGAATTTATGACAGGTGGACTCCAATCAAATTGTAGAAACATCTCAAGGATGATCAATGGAAACAGGATGCACCTGAGCTCAATTTCGAGTCATTGCAAAGGGTCTGAATACTTTTGGAAATAAGGTATCAGTTTTTTTTATTTGTAATAAAACTTGTTTTTACTTTGTCATTATGGGGTATTGTGTGTAAATTGATGAGGATTTTTATTTATTTAACACATTTTTCGAATAAGGCTGTAACGTAACAAAATGTGGATAAGTCAAGGGGTCTGAATCCTTTTCAATTGCACTGTAGTTAGGCCGTGAGTCAGACCTAAAAGTCACACTGCACCGCCTGCAACCGGTCAAAAACCGCAGTTCTATCCCAAATGGCACCCTATTCCCTATATAGTGCAATACTTTTGACCAGAACCCTGGTCAAAAGAAGTGCACTATATAGGGAATAAGGCACAATTTGGGAAGTACCGAGTGATTCATTATAACCTACATAGGAGGGGCCAGCCCAGGTTAAAAATACATCAATAAAATGCTGTTGTTTCACTGCATGGTTAAGAACTATGTGCTGCTGATAGCCTGATACATTATGCATGTATTGGTGGATAACATTTACTCCTGTACATACATTAAATTATGCAATCTGGTATTTGATGCTGTAAAGAGTAACGTTATGAAAAGTCATTTAGGAAAACCATGGACTACAGCGCAGCGCACACAGACAGACGCACCGTGTGGTTTTGGCTTACGCCTTGTCTGCTGCAGCCCACAGGTCCATTATAGATAGAACAGTGAAAATTTACCTTTGAGGTTTTTGGGAGATTTCTTATCTGTCGATGAAAGTTTACTTTCACATGCAGACACCAGTATATATATCTTTTTTGAGGTTAGGCTCTTCCTGAAGCGAGTGTAATCTCCCAAATTGCGCACTGTGATTTTCCTGAAACAAAATAAATGGTTAGATGAATTGTCGATTGCTGAGAAGTTGATGCGCATCTGAATTATGTTTTCAAGGCTGACTAACCTAACTTTTTAAATTAACATATTCCTTACTTTCCTGGCGAGTGCTGGAAGACTACTTTTCCTACTCTGGATAACTCAAAGTCATCGATGAACACGCAGCAGTTTTCAGGATCGCTTTTCACGAATCGGTAGCCAGCCTCTACCGTGAAACCGGGCGGAGGGTTCCGTAAGAATTCCTCAACTTCTATAACTTCCATCGTACAGCGGGAGACATCTGTGACCGTCATGTCTTTGGAGTGATATGGACTTCTCTGTCTCGCACGCTGTCTGTTTTTCTGCTGTGATTCCAGATCACGTGATGAGGAAATGAACGTCTTATAACCCCAGATGAACTCTCATTGGAACAGAACGTCTCAATCAGAAAGTATTTTCTTCACAAAAGCACATATGAATGACACGGATTGATAGTGGTGACTTGAAGATCTTTGGATGGGACATTTTTGCTGTATCCCTTATCAAGATGCTTATAAACGTTTCAATATTTTAAAAAACGTTTATTTTATTTGTATTATCATTGATCTTTTTTGGTGGGGTCATAAAAAAACTTAACAGATGTGGTCTATCCTATTTACTTTACCCATTTCATTTCTTCAACTTGTTACAATCTTCTACCTGTTGCTTAACTTTTTACACTAGGTCTACACTAGTTAGATTCTAATGCCGGACTCACTGTACTGTCCTGAAACATGACACAGAAAATATGTACTCACTTAATAACAGCAAGTGTAGTAAGCGTTTCTCCACCCTGTTTGGAATCTTCCAAGACAGACTGGCTGTCACCGGTGTGGAACGTTTTAGACCTCTACCCATTTTATAACTGTAGACCGAGGTGTCGCACCTTGTTTGGAATCTTCCAAGACAGACTGGCTGTCACTGGTGTGGAATGTTTTAGACCTCTACCCATTTTATAACTGTAGACCGAGGTGTCGCACCTTGTTTGGAATCTTCCAATGGGTAAAAGTCAGACTTGCCCTCAATGGCGAGTAATGTTTGTGAGAAATAATAGACTATTGACACTCACCTGACCGCTTGTTAATTTGTAGGCAACAGGTGAGGCTCTGAAAAAGTGGGTGTGTGCTGACGTGACTGGGTGTCTGCTTATCTATGTAGCTTATGTGTGTGTGTGTGATCAGAAGGGCAGTGTTGCCAACTCATCAGTAAGGAAAGTAGCTATTGGCTGTCCTAAAAGTCGCTAGAAGTCGCTAAATGACATCATCACCTAATTTGCATAATTGGCCATCTGCATGTAATTGTGATGGACGCTGTAGGAGAGAGGAATAACGTTGTGGGAAAGACAACAAGTGAGTAAAAAACACCCTAAATATGTTTAGAACTACAAATGAACTTTCTTCTCTCGATATAAAAAAAAAAAATGTTTTACATTTACATCCCGCCCTGAATGTAAGCCAGGGTGGGATCAGCCAGGGTGGGATCAGCCAGGGCGGGATCAGCCAGCGACGGCTTCCCGCATGCGCGATTCATTTGCAGTCTGGACGCGGAGGGATGAACATCTCCTGCTCTGACTGCAGCTGGGAGGGACTGCTGCATGAGGACTGGGCCGCCTGTGAGTGCTTTGGGACGGAGGGGGCCCTGGGGGTGGGGGTGGGGGTGGGGCCCACGGCAGCACCCGCTGCTCGTTGAGAAGAGTAAGAACGATACGTGCTTTCACGTCAGAGTCTCCAAAAGTCTCCAATAACACCAGAAAAAGTTGCTAGATTTGTCGCTAGTCGCTTTTTTGAAAACGTGTCGCTAGAGGGGTCTGAAAACTCGCTAAATATAGCGACAAAGTCGCTAAGTGTCACGATCGTTGAGAGACGGGTCAGACCAAGGTGCAGCGTGAAAAGCGTACATGTTTATTTACTCAATAAACATACAACAAAACAAGAAACACCGTAACGTGAAGTCCTCTGGCTATACACATACAAGCCTAAACGGAACAAGATCCCACAACTAAGGTAGGCAACCAGGCTACCTAAGTATGATCCCCAATCAGAGACAATGAGCGACAGCTGTCTCTGATTGGGAATCACACCCGGCCAAACATAGTAATACACCCTAGATCTACCACATAGAAATACACTAACATAGATCTCAACAGAAAACTCACACCCTGACCCAACCAACGAGAGTTCTCTTGATCAGGGCGTGACAGTACCCCCCCCCCCCCCAAAGGTGCGTACTCCGGCTGCACCAACCTGACTCATTAGGGGAGGATCCGGGTCCGGGCGTGACGACCTCTCCCTCTCTGCCTCCCCGTTGCGCCCCTGGTCTGGTCTGGACCTCGGCGCGATGCTTCCCCTCTCCTTCCTCCCACAATGCACCAAGCCCTGTCTGGACCCTGGTGTGGGAGGCCCCGACCCTGGAGAGGGGCTGACATCTGGGCCTGGAGTAGAGCCGCTGTCCGGAGCTGGATTGGGCACCGGTGGAGCGGACTACTCTGGCTCCGGAATGGATCCGCTGACTGGAGCTGGACTGGGCACCGGTGGAGCGGACTGCTCTGGCTCCGGAGTGGATCCGCTGACCGGAGCTGGACTGGGCGCCGGTGGAGCGGACTGCTCTGGCTCCGGAGTGGATCCGCTGACCGGAGCTGGACTGGGCGCCGGTGGAGCGGACTGCTCTGGCTCCGGCGTGGATCCGCTGACCGGAGCTGGACTGGGCGCCGGTGGAGCGGACTGCTCTGGCTCCGGAGTGGATCCGCTGACCGGAGCTGGACTGGGCGCCAGTGGAGCGGACTACTCTGGCTCCGGAGTGGAGCCGCCGACCAGAGCTGGACTGGGCAACGGTGGAGCGGACTGCTCTGGCTCCGGAGTGGATCCGCCGAACGGAGCTGGACTGGGCACCGGTGGAGCGGACTGCTCTGGCTCCGGAGTGGAGCCACTGACCGGAGCTGGACTAGGCACCGGTGGAGCGGACTGCTCTGACTCCGGAGTGGAGCAGCTGACCGGTGCTGGACCAAGCACCGGTGGAACGGGCACGGGCCGTGCCGGACTGGGAACACGCACAACTGGCTTGGTGTGAGGAGCAGGCCCGGGCCGGGCTGGACTGGGGACACGCACCACTGGTCTGGTGCGAGGAGCAGGAACGGGCCGGACTGGAGACACGCACCACTTGTTTGGTGCGGGGTGCTGGCACAACCCGTCCTGGCCGGATGCCCACTTTCGCATGACACGTGCGGGGCGCTGGCACAGGACGCACTGGGCTGTGAATGCGCACTGGCAACACAGTGCGTATCTCTGCATACCTAGGTTCCTCAATGAACACACGCTCCTTTTGTTGCCTGACCAGCTCCTCTCTCCGTGCCTCCACTACTTCCTTCTCCCTTTGAGCCTCCTGTAGCGCCTCCCTCTGAACGGATAACTCCTGCTCCCTCTGAGCTAACAGCACCCCGTAACGTGGTGGCCTCCTCTCTCAGACTGCTCCAGTCCTTCTCTCTCTCTCGCCAATCCTCCTCCAGTGAGGACTCCTTCGGGAGCCCCCACGAGTTAGGGAACAGAAACTCATCGTCGTCGTCATCCTCCGACTCCTCTGTGTAAAACTGTTCCCATTCCTGTTCCCATGGTCGTAGGGACTCCAACTGGAACCCCACCGGGTGCAGTGGCTGGGGCTCTTCTCTCTCGATCCCTGACCACCCCTCTAGCCCCCCCAATTTTTTTTCTTGGGGTTGCCTCTCGGGCTTCCTCAGCAGTTGGTCCCGTTGGCGTTGTCGTGGATCCTCTCCTACCCGGGCCTCTACCTTCGCCCAGGGTCCTTTCCCAGCTAATATCTCCTCCCATGACCACCATTTGCCCACCTGTGACAAAGCTATTCGCTCCTCTTCGGCACGCTGCTTGGTCCTTTTGTGGTGGGATCTTCTGTCACGATCGTTGAGAGACGGGTCAGACCAAGGTGCAGCGTGAAAAGCGTACATGTTTATTTACTCAATAAACATACAACAAAACAAGAAACAACGTAACGTGAAGTCCTCCGGCTATACACATACAAGCCTAAACGGAACAAGATCCCACAACTAAGGTAGGAAACCAGGCTACCTAAGTATGATCCCCAATCAGAGACAACGAGCGACAGCTGCCCTCTGATTGGGAATCACACCCGGCCAAACATAGAAATACACACTAGATCTACCACATAGAAATACACTAACATAGATCTCAACAGAAAACTCACACCCTGACCCAACCAACGAGAGTTCTCTTGATCAGGGCATGACACTAAGTTGGCAACACTGCTGAAGGGGAAAACACATTTATTTCCCCTCTGAAAGTCCCAGAGGGATGAGATTAAGGGTCAGTCCTCAAAGTGGGTCAGTAGGTTTAGGTTAATATGTGTGTCCCAAATGAGACTCTATTCCCTATAAGTGGAGGCTCCTCAGAGGAGGAAGGGGAAGAGCATCCTCCTCAGTGAATTTCATAAAAATAAAAATAGTTTATTTTTATTTTTTTTAGATAAAACAATACTAAATATATTCCCCTGAAGCAGATCGTAATTTTGGTGGGCATAGAATGAAGTCATGAGTGCATTCAGATGCGTGGTCCGTGGCACATTTACGTAACAATACAAATATACAAACAGGCTCATTCTGTTCAGGACAACCCAGGGTATAACAACTTGTAATTGTACATCAAACATAGTGATGATAAACGTTGACACTGTATATGACATGAGTTTTATGATATGGCAATGTGAAGTGCACATTTGGACTAATGGGTGTTTGGCTTACCTGTATAACATCAACGTCTCATCTTTCAAAATACATTGTGTCCTCTTAATTTACAGAATTCCCCTCACTCAAGACAACAAAACATTTGCAAAAGTTGCCCAATTGGCGGGTACTCAAGTTCAGAACGGCTGTCAGTCAAAACCCACACAGAGCTGTAAAGCAGAGAACCTGAGCGCCAACGTCATGTATAGCATGTTACTGTCCAGCCACTGACCTCTGACCTCATGTATAGCATGTTACTGTACAGCCACTGACCTCATGTATAGCATGTTACTGTACAGCCACTGACCTCTGACCTCATGTATAGCATGTTACTGTACAGCCACTGACCTCATGTATAGCATGTTACTGTACAGCCACTGACCTCTGACCTCATGTATAGCATGTAACTGTACAGCCACTGACCTCTGACCTCATGTATAGCATGTTACTGTCCAGCCACTGACCTCTGACCTCATGTATAGCATGTTACTGTACAGCCACTGACCTCATGTATAGCATGTTACTGTACAGCCACTGACCTCATGTATAGCATGTTACTGTACAGCCACTGACCTCTGACCTCATGTATAGCA